TGCCAACCTTAAATGTGCTCAGAGCACTTCTATTCTATAGTTAGGGAAAGTCATCTAACCCAAAGCCCATTTTATAGCAAAGTGTTGAATACATCCTATAATTATTGGATATAGTATAATATAGGGTATAGTATCCATTGTTCACCCTGGAGATCACCTTGCTGTGATCACATGATCACTCTTATGATCAAGTGGCTCATTGCCACCACTCAGAACCACCAGAGTATATTTTACCACATATCACTAGTCCAGAAAATATGTAAGGTCAAAATTTGAAGTAAGGTTTCTACTGCATGCATATAGCTTTTTCAACACTGTAAAACTAAAAATCATAAGCGAAACCATTGGTAAGTTGGGGACCTTGTTGGCTGTGGTGGCACTTACCTGTAGTCTGAGCTTCTCAGGAGACTGAGGCTGGAGGATGGCTTGAGCACTGGAATTAGAGAACCACCAGTGGATAATCTAGTGAGATGCTGTCTCAAGAAGATTTAAAAAGAAGAAAGAAAGAAAGAAAAGGAAAAGGAAGAAGAGGAGGAGGAGAGAAGAAAAGAAAGAAAAGAAGCAGTTGGGGACCATCTGTACAACAGATCATGCAGGTACAACTTTCATGCCTGCTGCTCTATGTGTCACTCAAAGAGTTCACCAGGCATCTAATGACATAACCAGACATTCAAACAGCAAACCAGGAAAATCCATCAGATTGCAACTGTCATCTTCATTCTAAGATGAAGACTCTTGAGGAAACTTCAAACTTATCCAGAACTCTTCTTTTTTTTTTTTTCAATCCAAATTTATTTATTTATTTATTTTTATTGGTTGTTCAAAACATTACAAAGCTCTTGACATATCATATTTCATACATTAGATTCAAGTGGGTTATGAACTCCCATTTTTACCCCAAATACAGATTGCAGAATCACATGGGTTACACATCCACATTTTTACATAATGCTATATTAGTAACTGTTGTATTCTGCTACCTTTCCTATCCTCTCAGAACTCTTCTTAACTAGCTGCCCTTTGGACTAAAAAGAGTAAGGTTATAATTTGTTCCAAATACTAACTTTTGTTTTTCTCTTATTTTCATGGACTAACAATTTGAATTCTCTTCAATACAATAATACCCCAAAATAGAAGTTACTGATACCTTAACAGTTTAACAAGAAGAAATTTGTGCTTTTATTGATAAAGATGTTGTTACTCTGTTGATAAATTGAAATTATTGCCTCAAATTTTGCATTGGACAAAAACCAAACCTAACTTCCACCAATCACATGTGTTTCCATGACGAGAGCTACTCCAACAAAGAAAAGCAAAGTGGACAAATACTAATTTTTCATCAAACACTGCCTTTTCCATTGATTTATTCAATTGGTTAAATCTTGGCTCCTGGAAATCTTTACTCAGAGAAATTTTTCCTTCTTGACTTTCATTTCCCTTAGAGTTATTGTGATTTTTACCCCCACCCCTGTATGTTTGTATTCTATCAAGAATTTTAAAGGCTTTCCAGCAGCCACCTGGGCTTGAAATAATTGCCACCAGGATCAGACAACTCCTGGGAACCAACACTGGTTATGTAATTGTTAAAGGTGGGCCTTGTAGCTCTGAGCTCCAGGGTACCTATTAATGATGATAACAGCATCTATCTGAATTTCTGTTTCAATGACTAAATCAGTAGTGGTAATTGAAAGTAATGCTGTACCCTGGGTTTGCTCTTGTAACCTATTGAGAGGATGACCCACAGGTGGGAATTGTTAAAGCAAAATTAAACTGATGACTGTGCTTGAAAACTCCTGAAAGAGCAAAACCAATGAAGCCTCAAAAATAGCCTTAACTTTACTTAAACTGCAAGCATAAGTGGAACTTTACTTGGGTTATTTCTGGTTACTGCTTGCATTGGGCAAAAACCAAACTTAACTTCAACCAATCACGTATGATTATATGACTAGGGCTATTTCAACAAAGAAAAGCAAAGACAGCAATTCTGTAACTATAGCCAATAAAATTATTTATTTTGCTTCTGCTTTGACCCCATAAATACTTGTCCCTGGCAATTTGTCATAAAAATTTTGCTTGGGTTGAGATAAAACACATCACTTTCCCATTGAAATTAGTGGGAATTTTATTTCATGGAATGGCTTCTCAGAGCATCAGGGTTTACAGAAATAAGTTGAAGCCTGCAAGT